GGGCCATTTCGCAAATTCAGAAACTATTATGACTATTTTACAATAAAACAGAAACTATTGGGCCAAAATTGCCAAAAAATCGAAATAGCTAGCAATTTTAATAAAAACCAGAAACCAATCAGGGTCACTTTAAATTTAAATAACCTCCAGGGGCCAAAACGGAATAACTGATACCTTTCCTGGGTCAATTTAAAAAAATTAAAGAGTCCAGGGGTAAAATATAATAAACAGAAAGATTAGGTTCAAAAAAAAAATTAAAAACTTAACAGATCAGGTCAAAAATAAAAATTTAAAAAAATTGAGGACGGGAAATTTTGGCAAGCAGCAGCTTCTTCTTCACGAAAAAGCCCCTAGCCGCCGCAGCCCCTTTCCCTTCAACCTCCATTTTTTTTTTTCTTTTTCTTTTTCTTCTTACCCCTCTACTGATTCTCAAAACAAAAAACCAAAAAAACAAAATTCATTTTTTTTTTTTTACTTTTCTTGCCCCCTCCTTTCATCGAAACAAAACCCAAATATATATATATATATTTAATTAATGTAATGCCCATTAAAAACCACAGTTTCAAAAATAAAGGTTGTATCAGGTACTGCACTTTTGTGCTGCTGTCCTTCAAAAACTCTTGAAGCTTTTGTGCTACTGTGACAAACTTTTAATTAATATGTGGCACTTAGATATGGCACGAAGGGATGGTGGACATGGACTAGGGCTGCACGTGGGTCTGAATTAAAGTACTTGACCTATTGTGTGGGTCAATAATTTTTTTGACCCAATCCAATCCAACCCATTAAATGCATGAACCCACAGGTTATAAACGAGTTAGGTTAGGTATGGGTCCAACGTACACCCGTGGGTTAAATAAATGAAAATAATAAAACTATTTTTAAACAAATTACAATTGTTTAAGAGGATTACTGTAGACGCTCAAATTTTACCCTTAAAAGGCTTAGTGATGATAAATTGTTTTGCGTATAACTTTGGATCGAGATTCCAAATCGCCCTGGTTTTCGTACTAATGGTTCGTGGCTGAGATTATATATGTGTTTAACCATTTTTACTTTTTGGATTACTGGGCGTTTCGTGATGAAATCGGGCCCGAGAAGCGCATCGGGCTTGCCTGGCGCACTTTTAGGTGTACTACCACATTTTGCATGCCATCCGGTCTAACTTAGTAAAAATGAGCCCGGCCCTATTGCGGGGATTGCGAGTGGCATTTTGCCACGTTAGCCCTAAATGGGGCCACCCACCCTCATTTGCCTATAAATAGGCATTTGGGGGGTGTGCCTTAAGGTAGGATTTTTTAGACTTATAGGGAAATTCTTGATTCTTGAAAACTCAACCTAGAAATCAAAGGAAACTTGTGTTTCCCTTTATTCAAAGTTGAGATTCATTTTTTTTTTTATCATTAAAACCCTTAAGGATCAGCTAGAAATCCCAAAAAAAAACATATTCACTAATCTTCAATCTCATACTATTGGATCAAGAACCTAGCATTTGGGTCTCTTGATCCATATTTTGCACTAAACTTTGAGGAATTCACCCAAAGGTAATACTTGAGAGCCTCTAACCTATTTCTTCGTCCTTTTCTTTTCATTTTCGGTGGTTTAAGCACCTATTTTGAGTCTGTTGTGAGAGAAACCTAGGAGCAACCACAAGGATGTTTCTATGCCTCTATGGCGGACGAACTAAGCTAGTGGTGCAAGCCACCACGTGTGGCATGCGCCACAAGCGCCATAAGCTTGTGGCTTGCGCCATATCAACCTTAAACCCCTATTTTGACTTTTTTTCTTGTCTGAAGCCTTTCTGATCTGGGAAGAGCCTTGCGCCACTATATGGGGCGCATGCCACTTCTCCCTATGGCGTTAGGCCCTTCATTTTAAAATTTTAGAATGTGAAATAATTAATAAAATGGTCCCATATGGAGATCCAATGGCAAAGCTCCAATCTTAAGTGGTCTGGGTTGTGTTTTTATCCATAAATGGATCAAATAAACAATAACAAACAAGATTGAGAGCAATGATTGGTGCACTTATTAATCATTTATGATGAACATCAAGGCCATGAGCTTAAATCTTGTTTACATATGTATGGTTAATAGTATATCTCTATCAGATTTTATCACTATTTCTCACTTGCAATTTGCAGACGACTCTGTTGTTTTTAATCAGGTGAATGTAAATGAATTGTGCAATTTGAAAATGGTGCTAAACTGTTATCAAATATTATTAGGCCTTAAAATAATTTTTCAAAAAGCAAATTATTCGGTGTTAATGTCTCAGAAGATGATCTTGGTTGCTTTGCTCAGATTTTGAAGTGTTTCCCTTGTTCTATACCAACTCATTACCTAAGCATTCCTATCAGTGCTAATCCAAAACGTCTCTCTATATGGAATCCTGTTATTGAGAAGGTGGAATCTAAGCTTTCCCGACGGAAAGCTAAACACTTTTCAATGGGAGGAAAACTAACTTTGTTGAAATCAGTTCTGTCTTCGCTATATTACATGACTATCTTCAGAGCTCCTCATAAAGTAATTCAAAAGATTGAATCTATCCAAAGAATCTTTTTATGTGGAAAAGGGATTGAAGGTGCAAAACCACTTAATTGGGTAGCCTGCGATACTATAACCAAAAATAAAAGTCATGGAGACTTAGGAGTGCCCGTCTTCGAAAGAAAGAATATAGCTCTTTTGGGTAAGTGGTGGTGCAGATTAAAAGCAGAAAAATTTTTTTGTGGAAGCGAATTCTAGTTTCCAAATATGGACCGGATGCATCATTAAAATCAAGTGTAGATTCTTCAGCTTGGAAAAGAATTTCTCCTTGTTGGAAAGATGTGATAGACATTAGGTCCCAACAAAACCCAGCAGCTGGATTTTTAACCAAAGATTTTTGTTGGATTCTTGGAGATGGTTCAAATATACAATTCTGGCATAACATTTGGTTAGATGATATACCACTTAAAGCTCGCTTTCACAGATTATTCAGATTGGCTTCTGACAAGAAGGCTTTTGTAAGGAATTGTGGTTTCTTCTTTAACAGTGTGTGGCATTGGAAGCTAGAGTGGTTAACGGAGTGAAGATCCTTTGAAGAGGATCAATGGCAGCAGCTAGAAACTCCATTACAGCCTATTTCAGTATTCCAACAAGCCAAGGATAGAATAGCTTGGATGCATGATCTTAAAGGTAAATTTTTAGTAAAAAAATTTTAATCTTTATTAGACTCAACTGTGTCTGGCAATCTGAGGTGAGTTTCAATTTAAAATCTTTATGGGCCCCTTTAATTTCTTCTGAAGTAGCAATATTTGTTTGGAAAGCATATTATTGCAAGACTAATTTACTAAAACGTAAATTATTACGAAATAATAAAAGTAGCTTTTGCCCTTTATGTAAGAAGGATAATGAATCAATGGATCATTGTTTGCTAGCTTGTGATTTAGTAAAAAATGTTTGGAACTCGATTTTTAGATGGTGGAATGTTTCTGCAGCTTTACCTAAGACGTTTGTTCAATTAGGCTAGTAATGGGAATGCTTATTGAAAAATAACGGGTATAACACTGCTTGGATCTTTTTTTTTTTTTTTTTTTTGTTTGTTCAATTAGGGCTAGTAATGGGAAAAAGCTTAATTGAAAAATAACCGGGGTATAACACCTGCTTGGATTCTTTTTTTTTTTTTTTTTTTTGTTAGTTCAATGGAGTTTTGTGGCTTTGGGAGAAATAAGGCAATCCCTCAATTCAAAATATTCAGAGTTGTGATGAAGTTGTAGAATCAGCCCATAAAATTCAGAAGTTTCCAAAAAATTTTAAAAAGCTAAGTTTTCCTTCTAATTTCCCTATGATGTTTTTTTTTTTTTTTTTTTTTGTTAGTTCATGGAGTTTGTGGCTTGGGAGAAATAAGGCAATCCTCAATTCAAATATTCAGAGTTGTGATGAAGTTGTAGATAGCATAAAATTCAGAAGTTTCAAAATTTTAAAAGCTAAGTTTCCTTCTATTTCCTATGATGTAAGGGAATGGTACTATCAACCTCAAATTGTGTCTTGTGATAGAGTTTTCATTAAGAAACCAAAATCTATTTTGAAAACTAAGCTGGTTTAGGAACCTCCTACTGGTAACAGATATAAGTTTAATGTTGATGGAGCTTCAAGAGGAAAACGAGGTCCTGCTGGTTTCGGTGGTGTGGAAGGAACAATAAAGGTGAGGTAAAGTGTATTTTTTTCAATCAGCTGGCATTATCTCTAATGAAGCTAAACTAAGAGCAATTTTTAGGGTTATAAAATTATTTTCTTAGTCTCAGTTCAAACTCTCACCATTTTACAGATTCGTTAGCTAAAAAGGGAGTTTAAACTCATGAAGATTTTCTTGCTTGGTTATAATGAAGGAAAGACCAATATGTAAATCTTTTGGACCGTAATTCTTCAGTATGATTAGTTATGAAGACACTTTGTAGCAGGTTAGGTTGGATGTAAATCATTTGGTTTTGTATTTTCTTTTCTTTTTTTTTTAATTATTATGACAATTTAGGTATTAGTTATTTTAAGAGTTTTGGATAGTTTCTGATGTTTTCCAGTTTGTTGTATATGATATTTCGATCAGTTTTTTTTATTTGAATCATCTAGGTTAGATTGGATGTAAATGGGAGCCCTAATGGCTTGGGATAATACTTGAATAAAATAAGTTTTTCTTGGACAATATAATTTAATAAAAATTATTTTCGCTGATTAAAAAGTTATATTTGAATTCAGTAAATCACTTTTTGGAGTTTTCAGAATTTGTATGTATGTGCATATATTCCTTTCTATAATACACTAGGTAAGTAATGCTGTCACTATAGCCAAAATGATTACTATTATGAGTTCAAATCATCTTCTCATTTTTTTAACCCATCATTAAAAAATATTTTATTATTATTTTTTATTATATTTGTATATAGATATTGATTTGGAGTGGGCAGGGGTTGGAGATTGGGTGATGACTGAAGGATTAGATTTAGGGATGGGGTTGAAGTTTATTTTGAGACCACTTTCATTATAAAAAAATAAATTACGTACATAAAAAGTAGCAATACAAGTAGCTTGTATGAAAGTCCAATAAAAATTAATCAATTGTATTTAATTTAATCTAAACAAAAACTTATACTTTAATTTCACATAGATAAAAAAAAAAATAAAAGAGTGTAAAATATGAGTATATGATGAGCATAATCAATATATAACGCACATCTTTAAAAATTTTTGCTACTTGTAGATTATGTTAACAATATATTAGCAACATTATTATTTTCATTATTAAATATAAAATTAATTTTATGAATAAAATAGTTTTTAATGCAATATTTTTTAAAAAATATAAATTAAAAAGATTACTTCTCTCATTTGAACAAATATATTTAATTCTTTTTTCGTTAATATTGTAAATAAGCTAATTATGCCTTCTCAAAATAATAAAAAAAAGTGTATAAGCTAACTATAAAAAACAATTTTAATTTTATCAATATTAAAATGATGTGGCTTAATTAACTATGTAATTTAGACTCTCACTAACATACTAGTATGTATGTGGACAATTTATTTTATATATTTTTTACTTTTTTATTTCAATTATTTTTTATTCTATTTTACTTGATTTTTAAAATTATAACATATTTCAAAAAATATAGAATGTGATTAAAATTGTTAAAATAAACTTTATAAAAAAATTATTGAAATAAATAAATAAATAATCTATAGAGAGAAAGAATGTAGAGAAAAATAATAGATTTGGATGAATTAAAAAGATAAAGTTTTTCAAGAAATAATTAAAAATAAATATATTTAAAAATCATGATACATAACAACTTTTTTTATATGTATTTAAAAAGAAGAAAGTTCTCATAGGGCAAAAAAAAAGTCATATACAATAGATTATATTTACTTGCTATAATAGGTTACCATGCCAAATAGCATAGAAACACAACTCCTCTACCTATTCAGAATTTTGAAATTCTATACTAGCCATGACTTTTTTTTTTTTTTTTTTTTTTTAAACACCAACTCCTCTACCTATTCAGAATTTTGAAAAATTCTAAATACTAGCCATGACTTTTTTTTTTTTTTTTTTTTTTAGATTGGCTAGCGATTTTTTTTTTTTTTTTTTTTTTTAGATGGCTAGCAATATGTCTGTGCTATGCACAATTAAAAAAAATTAAAAATTTAAAAGAAAATAATATATGATTTTTTTTTAAATTGTTAAAATGTTCTTAAATATAATATTGTTTGTAATTTCTTACTATTGTAATATATTCTATAATTTTATTTTGATTTATTGCTCTATTGGTCTAGTATTTGTGCTTTTCCCTTTTTTCGCCTTAAAAGTATATTTAAAACAAATATTAGGCACTTTTTAGTATAAAACTTCAATTTTAGAAAGTTTCTTTCAACTATGTTTATTTCAAAGTTGCATTTAAAATTTTTTGTATATTATTTAAATCACAATTAAGTTCAACTAATCAAATCTATATCAATTAGAAGAATTAGAGTTGGATTTACAATAAGTTTAAACCGTGCAGTCATACTAACCAAAGTTGGGTCAGCTAACTTCTTTGGATCCCACGTTTATTATATTTTAATGTCAATCTTGACTGAATTTGTAACTAGGATGCAATTTGATACATGAGCAATCCTAGCCCTAATTGGATTCCTAGCACAACTAGGATTTTATTTAATTTACTGTTTTATTTTAGATTTGCATTAGTTTTCCGTTTCCTTATTTAGATTTGGCATTAGTTTTTTCCGTTTCCTTATTTTGGATTAGGTATTTAACTATTTAATCATTGGGAATAGGAGGTAGAGTTTTAATTCCTTTTTTCTTGTAAAAATTAGGATTCCTAGTCCAACGGTTAGGATTTATCACTTATAAATAGACCACGCACTAGTAGTAATTTGTTCACTATAAATAGACAGCACTAGTAGTATTGTAAATCATCTTATTTTTCTCATAATTTTAATTCAAAGGTTATAAACCTAATTACCGATTACTGTTCCACCTACTATCTACCCTATTCTAACTTACTTGTTGAAAACTGACCGCCCTACATCTTTCCCCTGCGTCAATTGGTATCAAAGCCCAAAAAAACAAATCCTAGGATTCTTTTTTTGTCTGAATTAAACCATGGTTGGAAGAGACAGAGACAGAGGCAGAGACAATCAGCCCCAACAAGATGATATAGCTGAGATACGGTGAATGATTAAGGATTTGACCCGGGTTGCACAAGCCTCACAGCGTTAGGAACCCGTGGAAGCCCGAATGGAGACTCTGGAACGCAACCACCAAAACCTTGATTTTCAAGAAGCTCTTGAGAGTGAAGAGGAAGTCGAGGACGTAAACCCCTTTCATGATGCTGGACCTGCAAACCTAGCAGCACGAGGCAGATTGGAAGAGCGTTTACTTCATGCTCTTGATTTAAATAGTGGAGTTAAAATTGAATTTGCTGATTTTCATGGGAAATCGCATGCCGAAGACTATTTAGGTTGGGAAACTAGTTTAGAAAATTATTTTGACTTAGTTTTAGAAAATTATCTTTTTTGAATGGAAAACCCAATGGTTTTTGCAAAAACCCGAAAAAGTGCTTTTTTTGTAAAGCTCTAAATTGAAAAGAGTAATTGGCACTTCAAATGGGTGGAAGAAGAGTTTGAGGAGCATCGGCGCACGCCAAGGAAAAAGCTTAAAAATCCAGCACGTGGCAGCACATGAAAACTAAAGCTAAAGGAAGCAATTTTTACCCCAGTTGATTTACGCAATGGAAAACTAATATTAAAAATGTTCCATCTGCTTGAAAACAAAAATAGCATGTCCTTTTTCCGAAGAAGTAACACTTGCATAATTTAATAATTTGTCCATTCGAGTTTGGATAATCTGAAAGTAATGTACCCATTCGAGTTGGAATATCTGAAAGTAATGTACAAATTACCTCTCGCTACCTGTTTTCGCACCGCCCCCAAGCAACACGTTTCAACACTACCTTGCTGGTTTGAATCAGTCCCTTAGAGATGAAATGGGCATAATCCGATTACACAATCTTGAAGATGCTCGCCAATATGCCTTAGCAGCGGAAAAGCGAGTTTCTCGTTACGGTACTAGAAGGCCCATAAATAGAAGCAATTGGCAAAACAATTTTGGAGTTGCAAGAGTGGTTCAAACAACTCAACAAAGCGGGAAAGAGGCTACCGCTACTAATAAATACAATGAAAAGACAACCTGAGTTGATGGAAACGATAAAGGGAAAGGTATAGTACCTTATGGTGGACAAAACAATTCTGGTTCGTCTACAAGGAGAGGCAACAATTCTCAAGTTCGTTGTTTTTCGTTGTTTTACTTGTGCGAGAAAAGGGAACATACTTCATTCATCTGTCCAACAAAGGAGGGGTGAATTTAGCCCGAGTATGATGAAGACCAAGGCCCCTAGATTTTTGAATTGAAATATGGTGAGGAAGTTAGAAGAAATTAATGTTTACCCCAGCTCAAGGTGAGTCCCTTTTAGTGTTTCGAACAATCAATGACAAGCCATGAATAAAAGAAAGGAAAAGAAGAATTTGAGGAGGGCGTAAGCATTTTCCGTACACGTGTTATTTGTGAAGGCAAAGTTGTGTAAAATTTTTAGTCAATTGATGGAGGGAAGTATGGAAAAATATAAATATCAAAGGAGGCTGTAGATAAATTAAGGCTTCCCTACAACGCTTCCTACAACAAAACATCCTCATCCATAAAAAGTAGGTTGGTTGAATAAAGGGCACGAGATACCAGTAACATCTCAATGCTTAGTGCAATTCATAATGGGAGATGATTTGGCAGATGAAGCACTATGTGATGTAGTACTAATGGATGTTGGGCATATTCTAATAGGACGACCTTAGTTGTATGATCATGATATGAACCACAAGACAAGGCCTAATGCTTACTCATTCTACAAGGACAACAAGAAGTATAGTTTGTATCCTCCCAAGGAAGAAACAAGGCAAATAACAAATAAAGGAGCTGCAACTAGTAAATTAAATGGGCTTGTAAGTGTTAAAGAATGGTGATGAATGGAAAATAGCTTTTAAGACACCCGATGGGTTATTTGAATGCCACACCAAGGAAGATCATTTAAAACACTTGCGACAAGTGTTAAAAGTACTTCTTCAAGAGCAACTGCACATAAACCTGAAAAAATGCAAACACTTGCGACAAGTGTTAAAAGTACTTCTTCAAGAGCAACTGCACATAAACCTGAAAAAATGCAGTTTCCTGCAACCGGAAGTGGTATTCCTAAGATACATTGTGTCTGCTGAAGGATTAAAACCAGATCCAGAAAAGGTTCGTGCAATTACTGAATGGCCAGCACTGCAATCCATCAAAGTTAGAAGCTTTCATGTTCTTTGTGTTGTAGGAGGACGTTTATTCCTCAATGATCATACTGAGGATCCTATATTTTCTTTACGATGGATATTATATACTCTAATGAGAGATTTTGTTATCTTAGAAAATCAAATTCCTCTTTTTGTTCTTCAAACTTTATTCGAGATATCACTTCCAGATTTAAGAAACGTTCCCTCCACTTTGAAAGAATTCATCGTCGGATTCTTTAAATACACCATGCCCGACCACACAGTCAATAATATCCAAAATAGCAATCTTGATGACGAACATTTACTATCTCTATACCGCTCGAGCTTTATCCCTACTTCTAAAGGTGAAGCAACAGGTAGGAGTTTTTTAGTGAGAAGTTGTCTGAAGCTAAGAAGCGTTACTCAACTTATGATCTAGAGTTCTATGCCTTGCTACGAGCTATTCGACATTGGCAGCATACTTAGCTCTTTGTGAGTTTGTGGTTTTTTCTGATCATCAGGCCTTGAGGTATCTAAAATCTCAAACTCCCGATTCACAAGACGATTCCCGCCATGTATCACCGCTCTTGGATTTATTAGGTGCCATAAAATATAGTATATTTTTTACTGATTGTACAATTCACTCAAACAATCTGGTGAACCATGAAAAGTGACCAGAGACACGTACGTGGGTAAAAGATTTTATCATTATAAATTTAAAAGATTAATAAATTTTATGGCACATTTTGAAAATTAGAGACTATCAATAAAAATGAGCGTAAATTCAGGAACATCGAATAAAATTAAGCCGATGGATGATGGTATTAATGATCCATATATTAATATAGATACGTGATTATAAGGTCACTAGTTTTTCAGAATATAGAATGCACATTGTATGTATTTGGGATTATATATATATAATTTTCTATGTTATAATTTTCTATGTTATAATAAAATTATATATATATAATTTTCTATGTTATATATAATAACACAATCCAACACTGTAGAACCCGATTTTAGTGAGATTAACACCACTACATATAATTCATGTGGCTATAGATGTGAATAAAATCATTAGTGCTTGTCTTAAAATTCCTCATATAAACCCCATTAGCTTTAGCAATCCAATAGCAATCAGAAAGATAAGTCCATAAATTCTTCCTTGTTTTACATCTCTGCAAAATACACTGATTATTGTAAAACACATTGAGGATAGCATGAGATAAACCGTCTGGAGCCAAATAACACCAATAAACTGTTGATAATTTAAAATTTTAATTTTATTATCTACATTATTAGAAATCAATCACAAGCCATCAATAATTTTATTTAAAAAATTATTATTTATTTAAAATAAGTATATTTAAAAAATTTTTTTTTTAATTATTTAATTTAAAATAAGTATCTAAATCTATAATCTTAATTTTGAAATTTTTTTTAACTTAAATCCTTTTATTTTATGATTGAATTAATCAAGATATTTCTATTTTATGTATATATCACCTTAAATAATATATATATATATAAATATATATATATATATAATATAATATAATATATATACATATATCACTTAATTCTTTTGTTTATATATACATATATCAACTTATCTTTTGTTAAGCCACCATTTTTAATTTTCTATATTTTGAAAAGTCTATAGAGACTATGAAACTATATATAGTAAACAACTTATAAATTATAAATTAAATTAAAAACTAAAAGTATAATATACAACAAAAACATGACCCGCGCAATGTGTGAGTCTTTACCTAGTATATATATAATTCTTTGAAGCAAAGAATTTTTTTTTTCATTACCCTCATATATGTACATTCTAAATTGGCTTGGATTATGAAATGATATTATTTTGGTGACAGGAATTGGTGAGAAGAAAAATGAAGTTGTTACGTTTACTATGAATGAATTGATTCGCATAAAAGGTGTTTTTGAAGAAAATTTAAAATTGGCCACTATTTCAAGGTCTACTAATCTAATATATGCTTATCAATTTATTTTTTAATACATTTTGTGTATTTATTATCCCTCAATCCATTATGCTTGGGTTCACTCTATGTTTATAGCGGGAGATCAAACCAACTTTAAGATTGAAGCATCATTTGAAGTTGAGGCATCACAATTTCACCCTCATGTTGACGCACTTTTAATATTCTCCGGTTGCCAATTTTTCTGTTTCTTTTTTTTATATGTAATTTTCATTTGATTTATATCTTTCGCTTTTGCTGTATTTTATGAAAATAAAATGTTATTATTATTGTTTTTCGGAAGAAGAATGTTATTGTTGTTATACTATTGGCATATCTTTTATGGACTGGAATTATTACGCTTAATTTAGTTTTTATTTTTCTTAAATGGTCCATTGGTTTTAAATTAAATATAACAATGCATTATTCTTTAGAATAAGTTTTAGCTGGATTTTAAATGCATAATAATTTGTTATTCATAATAATATTATCAAGATTTATGAAATACAAATTTGCATTCGTTGTTTTTAAAGATTTTTGAGAAATGGACAAGAAAAGATAACTTAAAAAAAAGAATATCTATTGCAATAATTAAAAAATTAACTATTGTTGATATTATTGCCTAAATTGTGGGCTTAAATTTCTTTTCCAAATGAAGGAGATTAATAATTTTGTCATCTTATAATTTATATGTAAATTATAAACTATAAAGTAAAACATAGAATAATATATTAACCCGCGCAATTTGCAGGCCTATAACTAGTAGCAATATAATTTGAAATCTAATCTAATTTAACAACTATTCTATTTTATTCGATATTTGATTTTCATTTTTTCAAAATTTAAAATTTTTAAAGATAATTTGACTATAGAAAATTTTTAATTTTATACTTATATCTGTACCTATATATAATCATAGTTAGTGGCTTAAATGAACAAAATGATTGTTTTTGCATAAAATATATGGTTACTGCTTTGCTTTCTTTCTTTTGTTAATTTGAATTATTTTTGCTTATATTCACAATCCAATTATCTTCTCGCAAGTAAGCATCAATTATCACGCTTCTAAATAGACTCAATAGTATTTTCAAGAAGAGGTTTTTACTTCTGGCATCATTCCTCTACGACAATAATATTCAATCAAAATTGTGTATAATTTGGAGTTATATGCTTAAAATTGTTCCACTTGACTTTGAAGCTGCGATTCTTCTTCTTTTTTTTTTTTTTTTTTAAATTTTCAAAGAAGAGGGGTTTTTTTCACTTCCTTTGGCATCAAAATTCCTCTACGACAATAATATTCAATCAAAAATTGTGTATAATTTGGAAGTTATATTCTTTTAAAAATTGTTCCACTTGACTTTGAAAAGTTGCGAATTTTCTTCTTCTTTTTTTTTTTTTTTTTTTGTTAAATCTCAAAATTTTGTAACCCGTTGTTTGGTTTTTTTTTTTTTTTTTTAAATCTCAATTTGTACCGTTGTTTGAGCATCAATTTGTTTAGAATCACATGCATCCATCAATTTATTTTTTTTAGTGTTCTTTGTAGCCTTTATTAATTATTAGTACTCAAAAATTTATGTTAATATGAACGCTTTCTATTTTTAGTACAACTTCAAGTAGAAAAAAAAGATTCTATATGTGCTAGATTGATACTAATATAAACTTTCGCATTTACAACATTATTTCATTTAATTGTGGTGCTAAACGATTTAATTTTTATTGATGTATAAACCTAACTGTGCGGGATTGATGATTTCTCAAACCGTTGAACGATGTGAATATGAATGCAAAATATAGTCATTTTTCCATG